ATCATGGCCCGCGTGCCTGACTGCGGCACGCCCCAGCCATGCAGGTTAGCTGCTATTCTCTGGCGGAACCTTCAGAAACGAGACAGAAGAGATCTTCAGCTTGCAGGAGGGGGGCCGGACTTGGCGGAACGGCTGGGGCTCCAGGATGAAGAAGATAGCAGTAGCGAGTCCAGCAGCAGCAGCAGCTGCAGCAGCAGTGAGGACGATGGCAGCAGTGAGGACGGTGGCAGCAGTGAGGACGGTGGCAGCAGTGAGGACGGTGGAAGCAGTGAGGATGGTGGCAGCAGTGAGGACGGTGGAAGCAGTGAGGATGGTGGCAGCAGTGAGGACGGTGGCAGCAGCAGCGGCAGCTCGGACAACACCAGCAGCAGAAGCGAGGACAGTAGCATCGACGGCGGAGCCGCAGGGATAACCATTCAGGCCCAATGCCGGAGAAGCGGCCGTGCCAGAGGGCGAACCTGGAAGGGGAAAGCCTACGCGGAGACTTTGGCGGCTAGTGTGACTCAGAAGGGAAAGAGAAAAACCGCAGGGGAAGCGGTGGACCCCGATGGCAGAAGCAGCAGCCCGGAGAAGAGCATGGGTAGCAGCGAGGGTCATCTCGTTGTCCGTGTCAATCGTCTCCTGACGAGGCGTGAGGTGGGCCATTCGTTCGCAACCAAGCGTCGACGCGAGGAGAAGTACGAGCAAGTCTGGGAGCTCACGAACGACCCATTGGAAATACGGGTCGGGGCGATTTCGGGGCTTTGTTCGGTCCTTGAACCTGGTGATACATCAGAACCATCGGACGATGACGCTGTGCCTGCTTATTACGGGGAAGGCTTCGTTCAACAGACCCCCCGGACCAACGAGCTGCGGTTGGCGATGGCACCTTGGAGGAAACAGGGATACCACGATTGGTTCTTCGATCGGAGAGCGAGCGGAGTTCACGAGAACCTAGCGGGGCTGCCTGTGTTCTCCGCGGGCCTTGCGTGCAGCTCGGACGCCTTCAATTACTTTAGTCTGAGCGGAAGGAAGTACAGCGTGAATGCGACTTTCGTCGGGTTGGGGTGCTTGTCGCCGACTCTTCTACGACGTCTTCGATCTTGGTTTCTGGCTACGCTCGGGTTGCCGGGCGCGGCGTGGGAGTTGGACATCTTGCCTCTCATGAAAATCATTCGCCGTCTTCAGAATGGGTGCAAGGCAGAGTTTTCGATCGGAGACAAGCAAACCGTGACGGTGAGTTTTGCGATATACAAATCGTAAAGGGCAACGGAGGTTCAATGTGGTGTAGAGGTTGGCGGAGATCTATATCATCCCCCCCCCCCCCGTCTCCCCCCCACTCGGTGTTTGCCATCGGGATTGGGTTTTCGTCGCTTGGCAACGACGTTGTAAAACAAGCCAATTCACTTCGTGAACTCGGCAACCAGGTTACCGTTTGTTTTTTTTTACCTCGGTTTTTTTTTTGGCGGTAACCATAATGGTGGTCGAGTAGATCATGTTGTGCGGGGTCGAGAACCCTCACTCCGCGCAACGGGGGATGATCGCACCACGTTGTGTTAAAATGGTCAAGCTTCCTCGAGGCAGTTACACAGTGCTTACAACTGTCTCTGGAAGTGAAAGCACCAGAAAATAAATTAAGTCATACGTAGCTGTCATCCGTACGCAAGGAAGTAAGCACAAGATGCCGAACACCCTTAGCAGGATGCAGCTCACCCTTCATGCGACTCGCCGAATACCTCACGGCGCTTCGCGCTTGGTGATGTGAGAGCCTGGTCCGGTGAGAACCCGGCGTGCTCCGTCCCGGCTTTGTAGAGATGCGAGGTCAATGGTCAACGACTACGGCATGCACGACTATGAGTACACCCCCCCCCCGTCTCCCCTCCCTCGGCAGACGTTCTCGGCCCGCACGGCCAGTCGAAACTGTATGCAGAAGGTAGGATTGGGTGATAGAATATCAGGGCGCGAGGGTTGTTCGGGAGTGCATCAAATTAGCCGTCCTGCGCACGATGCAACAACGGCAGATAACGGCAGCGTAGATGGGGCTGACGTTTGTGCCGTCGTCTGGGTATATTCGACCTGAGCAGCCTCAGGATCGACGCCATAGTGTATTTTCGCACGCTGCGTCAGGAGGCGGGGGGGGGGTCGTTCTTTCGCTCGATGATACCCCCCGGCGAATGAAACAACAAGGCTGGGGGTTGTTATGGAAACAAGAATGCGCACATGGTTCGGACTTCACGTCGAACATGCAAAAGCGTCCGGCAAACGACTCATTCCTGCCCTGTGTGCGACTGCAAACAATGTACAGATACCGAACACCAACAACGCCCGCCCCAACCGCCCCCTCTACCCTGCTCTGCCCCTCTTTTAAGAGGCGTTGGTGAGACTAGGTCTCCTGACAGCGAACCTCGACTCCCCTTTGCACAGCTTGTGGACGAACCAGAAGCACCACAACGCCAAAACGGAAAGAGCGTGCCAGGCATGCGTAGTTCCTAGGAGGGACCTCGGTAACCCGAAGTACGACATTGTCAAGAACGCCCGGACAGCGGATGGACTCAGGGAGGACCTCAGCCGCGTTGCCGCCACGGAAAAGAAGCAGGACCGGGATAAGCTGTCACGAGCTCTGGGCGTGGTCGTGCCCCGGTATCCCAACCCCCAGGACGAGGTCGCTTTCGACCGGGTTGAGGGATGCGGCATGGACATTTTGCACCAGGTACACAGATGCCGTAATTGGTTCGGTCTAATCGAGATGCCAGGCTCAATCATGTGGTATAGGTCAGGCAGACGGGCAAGTCCACATTGGACGTGTGGTGGATCTCGTTTCCCAGGTCTCCTACAATCACAAACGTGATCACATCCCTTCTTTAATTTGTTCCCAACATGAGCATGTGCCCTGACGGGCGAATTGTCATTAAACCCAGGTAACCTACCAGCTAACTTGACTCTGACCCCCACCCCCAAACCTTTGATGTTACTGCTGACGCAGTCTGCGCTTAACTCGGGCAAGAAGATCATGGGCTTTGTGATGGATGCTCTTGATCCCGCTGGTTCCGAGATTGTGCGTGCTCGGTTTGCATGGTGCCGGATGCTGCCCCCGAACGTTTCGCCGATGGCCGACATCACCAGTGCTGGAGGGTGGTCGGCGTTGACTGGTCAACAGTTGTGGCTCGTTTCCAGTAGCTTCCCCTTCCTCCTCGCGCCAATCTTCTCCAGTCCGGACAATCTGGTGAGTCGGCTGGTGGGCAAAGATATACAATGGAATATAGCCAACGAGGTGGCGTGGGTGGACATGTGCCTACGATTTCGACCGTATATTGCAATTCAAAAGGGGCATTGTGTAAACACGTGGTCACTCCATGTTTACGTTGTTTCTTGGCGATGCCGCCATAGGCGAAATATGGAGGGGAGTGCTGCAGAACAGGGCGACACCGGACAACTTTTGGACCGCCTCCTCTCCTCCGATTTAAAACCCAACTCCGCGAATCGCGAATCAATGTATGCCTCACTATGGAGATGCGACTATGGGTTCATCGCCACCTCCTTCATCCCATATGCTGTAATCAGGGCCGCTATGTTCGGACCATGGTCGTTACAGAGGTGGCAGATCGCATCAGTGTGGACCCCGGCACCCCCGCTGGCAAGGCGGCTGTGTGCAATGCATTCCAAGACCTCGTCAAGGCTTGCAGCTGGAGCTGTTTCGTGGTACGCTCACCTTCATTTACTGCGGAAGGCTTGCGTGCTTTGCAAAAGTCTCAGCTAGAGCAGGTACGGAGCAACGCGCATTTTGCTGTCTACAATCCCTTCAGGCCTGCGAAGTTTGCGTGCGACCAGTAGACATGCGACGATTGCGGGATCCCGCCAGACACCGGGATGGGCGACACGGAAGAAATTAGGGGCCCCTTTGTGATTTGAACAGACACGCGATACCCGACGACAGCCCGTTCGCCCGACGGCGACGCACTTGGGACCCCCCCTCTTGCCCGCTCGTTTCTCTGTACACACCCCGACGACAGGTTAGATGGCATAATATCGGTAGGCCTCAGAAACCCCTACACTACGGCAGTCGAGGTATGTGTACCTAAGCAGCTTGAAGTTACCGATTCGTTAAAATTATGGGATTCTCTCGCGAACGCGGTGTCGACAGGTCAAGCAGGCCACTCGAGTGATGGGGGTTGCTCTCGGCACCATCCACAAAGGGCTTCACATCGCTCGCAATGTGGTCGTTAACGGTGAGTTCGTGAGTTCGTGAGTTCGTGAGTTCGGAGACGGTTACCCTTCTGCGCGATATCATACGTGCACACGCGGGTCCTGTTTGCGCGAACTCCCTCGCGTTCGAGTGCACCTAGTTGGCACGACCCCGTGCTGTAACTTGTCCCCGGGGTGCGTGTGTCTGTCCCATCTACTCTGGCACCATGTTGCCAACATTTGTCTGTTTGTCCCACGTAGCAGCCGGGGTCGCATAGGAGGACGGTTACATGAGAGATTCGTCAACAATGGACGTTTTGCGCAAATGAACAACAAGACAATCGAATTGCGAACCATCGAATTGCGAACCACCGCCCAACCAAGGGAAGGTATCGAGCGTACTTTAGGTGTCACCTCTGTCAAGCGTTCCGTCGAATTTTCCGTATTGCATGCGCCGAGATTCACAGCATACCTCCCACCTGAGCGCCCCTCGACCAGTCAAACGAACCACAATGTGCTTCGCTTGTGATGGCCGCCAGACCATTGTGTGGCGAAATAAAACCACATTGCCACCTGCGTCGGTGAGGCCCGCTGCGTGCCTGCCCCACGCCTCCTCACGCGTACACTCCCCATGCATACACTCCGACAGCCTTCGTGCCCTAACCCTAATGAGTTCCGATGGTGCTTTGAAGACATGGCGCTCGGCGAGTCCTCGATGTATTTTTTCGCCGATCCTAACCCTTGCCGCGCGTTGGCATAAATTCGGCGGATGCACAACCCATTTAACTGACCATGTCCCTCAATGTTTCTGGCGCCCAAACGTTCGTCGTCTGACTCGCAGGCGTTGTGACGAATTGCAATGTCGGAGAGGCCAAGAACAAGGAACTGAAAGCATCGGCTCCTTCGGCGAGTGGACGAGACAACGCCCGGCATATTTGGCGTGCTACGAACGACAGCTTAGCTATCAAAGCGCTGGCGGACGCAATCGAGTGGACAGCCTCGGGTTGGACCGGAAGCAAGTGGGAGAGGCGAACGGTCACGGCAGGCGACCTCTGCCGTCAGACCCTCCAGGACTTATTCTCCGTCCTGTTGCTCGCGCCCGCCTTGTCGGACACGCTGTCGGCGGGGCGACCATGGGGTTATGTGGAGTGGGATGAAGACCTTGTCGGGACGGAGGCACCACTCACGGGAGTAGACGGAGCTGACTGGCAATCTGTTGTCCGAGAAACGCTTCCGACCGCAGTACAACATGAGGCGCAGTACAAAGACAAGCTCGGCTGCGGCCGGGAAGAGTCCGGACCGCTCTGCAACGACGACGTGTGTGCGTTCTGCTGGCGAGGTAGTCCGGGCCTGCACAACGGTTCTGTGACTTGCTTCAACCATTGGGGAAACGCGCCGGAGGAGGCTAGCGCAGGCACAGACACTCTACGCGGCGGTCCAGTAAAGGACGCCGCCAAGTTCGGCAACACATGGATGATCCAGGAAACGTCGAGAGCGAACGACGTTGAACTCTACGTTGATGTCAATGCTCGCCGTTCCGGGGAGCGCGTACAGGCAGCCACAACCCTCGGGAGAATCGCCTATTTTTTCGAGCACGAAGGGAATGACAGCAGGCATCTCGTAGACGGCGAGGTTCAAGAAGGAGGGGAGTGGACGGTCTGGGTTGCGGTGCAAGAGTACGTTACTGCCGGGAGGGGCCAAGGGCGCAAGGTCAACCACCCAACGGGCTGCGACGTCTTCTACCTTCGCAGGTCTGTCAAGTTTTTCCCTGCGTCGTGCATCCGCTCTATGGTCCACATGGTGCATGCGTGTGCCACGACTGGGGCTTCTTCGTGCTGCTTGCTTCGAGAAGAGGGCAACAAGGGCGAATGGAGGTGCACCCCTACCCAGAGCGCTCATTATCTCCTCAACAAGTACTTCCACAGCTTCGGACGCGGCCCGGTCGCGTGAGGTACGTGTTTTAGCATGTTTTATCGAGCGACGGGGGCGCGGGGGTATTTTGTGTGAAACCATCGGCCGAATGCGAGAGGCGCGGGCAGACCCCTTGCATGCGTTACCTAGATCTCTTCGTCGCCTCCGCGCTCACAGCTGGAAAAACGGATGTCCGAATTACGGGGGTGATTTCCATGCCACTGGTTGGCGGGAAAAAAATTGCTGTTGAGTGGGGCGGTAATATCAAGGATGCGCCCTGCCAGTGCAGACGTTGGTCACAGTATGGGTCTATACACACATTTCGTGGCACCACTTACTACCCAATGTGTCCCACGCTACCGATCGACTCCCACCCCCTCCAACCCTCAGAGCCCCCGGATATGGACTGCAAAACACCGCTTCTCCAACGCAACTTCTAGTGCTGTGGTCACTTCGAAAGCCGACCCCCTCTGCTTCCGCCCCATCGCCCCCGACGCTCTTGCCGTTTACTCTCATGCATCAGCCGAGATGTGGTGGGCTCGCCTCGCGTTCGGTGCCTGTTCGAGCCGAGCATGGACGCAGAGGGGTTAAGCGACAGGGGGTGCGTGGGCGGTTCCATTGTTGACGGCAGATGGAGAGGCGGGCGAAAAGATCATCGCGGAGACGGGGGATTTGGGTGGGAGGTGGTAAAGGGAGAACACTTACGGATCGTAGGCCATAGGTACCTTGCGACGGAGCCGGGGACAGGGTAGGTGGGAGAGAGAGCTTGCGCCCGAGGTTTGCGTTTCGCGCCGTTGCAGCCGTGTGTCCCTGCGTTGGTTTGTTTGCCAGACGTTGCGGCGGGGATACGATACGAGATGGCATGCCCACACATACCGGCGGACCCTTGTCTCAGCAGGATATAAATTCGTACCGGTGGCAATGTGAATCTACCTCAATTGTTTTCCCTGCTTTTGGTGCTCGTAGGAGCTCGTTCAAACTTCGTGGGCGACAACCCCGTTGTTCCTTGTCACAAACGCTATTTGTTGCGTTCTTTTGTCGACGGCTTCAATAGACTCCACTCTCACCTGGCGGTTTCTCTTTCTGATTTTGGTTTTGTCTATTTCAGCGTCTCACGAAAGAGAGGCGGTTGCTACTCCTCAATACCGTGGATTGTTCATCTGTGGATTGTAATGTTGCACTTACATATTTTTGGTGTGTGTGACTCCCCTTGCTTTGCAAGGCTAACACGGGTTCAGCCACTGCTGCTCCGTGACGCACGTGTGTTGGGATTTTTGTTTGTTTGCCGTTAAGGGAAAATTTAACCTCGTCGACTGGATGCGGTGCCTTCTTCATTTGATCCATCGCGCTCAAAGCAGACAATGTTATTGTTGCTGGTAGTAACGACCTTATTTATCGCTTTTCTTTATTTATAGGAACTAGATACCGGCGGCCCTCCTTGATATGTAGAAAAAAATACCTCTACGTGTGGAACAATTCCTTTTTATTTGCCCCTCGATCGCTGGGTATTTCAGCCTGTATGTAGAAAGCCCAGCCGGAGGAAAGAACAACAACGAACGGTCGCCGATGAACGGCTAGACATTTTCTCAATAAATGGTAATAAAATGAAAGATCAGTTTACACGCGATCTGCCGGGTTTCGGACCTGCGTCTGAAGACTTGAAGGTCAAGCATGGTGGGCAGCCGCAAAAATATCTAACCTTTTCATTCTTTCAAGGGAAAGCCATACATGTAAGGTATGGAAGAACGCCGCCACGTCTGTGTCCAAAAAATTGCGAGGGTCGTGAGACCGGCGACGGAAAAAAGAAAAAAACGATAGCATGCGAGGTGTTTGTGGGTTTGAACCCCGTCCTCAACGAAACTAACGTTCACGCTGTGACTGCTGGGCTAGTGCACGGAACTGGTAGTAATTTTTTCAATTGAAAGGCATATGCATATATTAGGTAAATATCTGTTGGAAGTCTTCACAGCGAGCGGTCGCGACAGACTTTACTATTGCTGCATGTACTTGACGGTTTACTTTATTTCGTATGTGCGTATTATCTTGGTAATGCAATCGTCAAGCCATACACCCGAGTGCCACATTGTTTCTAGCTGTCGTTCTTTTGTTTCTAGTTCCACACCCACCACGTGATACATTCTATCGCATCCACCCGCGTGCCTTCACGGCCAGCCTGAGATTGTGGATGTTTCCCACCCTGCACCATCGGTGCTTTCACAACCAGGAGGTCTGTGGCCTAAGGTTGTGGCTACCCCCCAACCATTATGATCGGGGAAAGTACAACAACATCGGTCTGGCCTAAAGTTGCTTCCGCTCCTGGCCAAGTGGATAGCGCTAGTTCGTGTGTACACAGAGGGAAGAGAGTGCTGAACTCTTCTCGCATTAAAAATTGAAGGCGAAGTACCGCAGGAGGGGAGGGTGGAGAGAGGCTCTTCTGTGTGACCACGGGTTGGAATAAACGGCACTAGTGCTGTGAGCGCTGATTTGAAGTGAAGAACAAAAAAAAAAGAAAAAAGTTGTGGCTGCCTCCCAACCTGCGCGCACCGGTGCTTTCACAATCAGGAGGTCTGGATACAGGTTGTGGCTACCCCCCAACCATTATGATCGGGGAAAGTACAACAACATCGGTCTGACCTAAAGTTGTGGCTGCCTCCCAACCTGCGCCACAGGTGCTTTCACAACCAGGAGGTCTGGATACAGGTTGTGGCTGCCCCCCAACCTGTGTGATCGGTGCTTGCACAACTAAGAGGTGTGGCCTAAGATTGTGGATGCCTCCCAACCTGTGTGATCTGTGCTTGCACAACCAGGAGGTGTGGCCTGACGTTGTGGCTGCCTCCCAACCTTCCGCATCCGTCCTTGCACAACTAAGCCGTTTGGCCAAGGTTGGGGCCTCCTCCCAACCCCCCTCTACAACCTGCCCCTACCTTGTGGATGCCCACAACCCACCCACAACCTGCCCTCTGGCTACCCGTGTACTCCACTGCTTGACGGCATCGCAACAAAACGATGGTGACTAGGGACAAACCCTAACCCAGAGCCCCCCCCCCCCCAAATGTAACAAAATTAAGCGTTGCCCGGGGCCTTCGTGATGGCACACATATAGGACTGTGTTTCGGTGTGATGCTTGTGAGCGAGCCTGACTCGGATACAGCGGTGTGGCCGGTAAATGTCAGTCTAGTCAAGTCTAACTTGTCTGTTTGCGTCTCTAGGGCGAGGGGATCTGTTTGCATGGGTCGCGGTGGTGCCTAACTGTTTGTCCGAGCCATGTTTGAGGCACTTAGATTTCAGCGCTTTGGACCAGTTTGCACAGAGGATAGCAGCGTATCGGTCGTGTCGCTTTCTTTTCTGGCACTCGAGGCAACGTGGGGTGTTCACTCCATCCCGCAAGAGTCGATGTCAACAGCGTCTAGCGTCCTCTTCCCCTGCATACCGCCGTCCTGTGTGTCGTCTACAGCCTGATAAGATGAAGACCGCGCTAGCCAATATGGCCCTGGCTCCGGTGCTTTCACCGGCCAAGCACTACGCCACCGCTCTCGGCGGCTCCGGGACCCCTTCTATCGGGACGCAAGAACCGTGGTATGACGTCTTCGGCTGCTCGGAGTATCGATTTTTATGACATGGTGAGTTGGGCATGTGCTGAGAGCGTTTCCGAGCCGAAGTTTGGCGTGACGATGTTCTGTTTTGTCCCTCCGAATATGCAGGCTCCTGGCCCGGTTTGAGTTCCAATGTTCGCCTTCTCTACCTTAGTTCGCTGGCATTTGCTTGCTGCGACTCTCATTGCTCGTGTGTTTTTTGACACGGTTGCTCCGCCTCGTCGAGACATGTGTAGTCCGGGTTGTCTCGGCCTCCGGGTGACTTGATAGAAGCAGATCTAAGTCACTTTGGGGAGATCGCCGCACTGCTCACTATCGCCTTCGGACTTGGAGCCAAACTACTCGTGGAACATAGCCTTCGCCCCTCGAACCTTGTTGCCTCTGTACACTTTTCGTAGTCTGTTGTTGAGCAAGTGCGTGTTGACACTCGTGGTAGTGGAGGGTTATCACGAGGTAGGTTTTGAGTCGTGTATGTCCTGAGGCTACATCCAAGAAGGGTGCAGCGGTGTAGCAACGGCGGACTTGTCCTTCCGCAACTAGATTTTTCGGCTCAGCATTCTTACCGCTGACGCTTGTTCGGTTGCCTCGCCCAACCCATATGCATCACAGGTTCAAGGTCATTATGCTCGACTTCGCCCAGGAAGCTCGGGGCGAACTGCCGGCAGCTAACGAATGCTCGCTGGAAGTCGCCGAGGATTTGTTTTTTCCTTTCAACTACACCAACGGCGTTCTGGGTGGCGACGATGCTGGCGGTGACGCTGGCGCTGGCCCTGGCGCTGACGCTGGCGGTGGCGGCGTCGACGAGGAGAGCAGCGCCGGAGAGGAGAGCAGCGCCGGAGAGGAGAGCAGCGCCGGAGAGGAGAGCAGCGACGGAGAGGAGAGCAGCGACGGAGAGGAGAGAAGCGATGAAGGGTCCGTCCAGAACGACCAGGAAAACGCCGACACCGAGTCGGAGTACGAAGAAGGGACGGGTGCCGGCGACACTGAGACGGAGGACTAGAAGATTCATCTAGGGGAGAACCGATGTTGTCTTGTGCAGTGCATCCTGTTCGTTCAACTTGTTTTTCCACAGTGGCGGTAGAAAGGTACGTAGGGTGTCTCGAGGTGTCTCAAGGCTAGGGGGTTGGGTATGTGCATTCGTTGGCGATTATCTGCTTCGCCACGACCTTTAGTTCAGTGTAATCCAACTCTTCAATTTCGCGAGACAAGAATAATCCTTTGGAGCTTTTGGGTGGCTGACGACACCAGTTATTGACAGTACTGCCCTTTAGTATGCTACATATGTAACACATATCCACTTGTTTGAACTTCCCGAGTTCTTTGGTAGCCCAAGGCCAAGTCCTTTATCGACACTGATGTTCACGGTGATCGGCCGACCGTCTGTAAAACCCTGTCGTTTCTACTCAAAACCAAATGGGCCGATCGATGACACCGTCCCCGGTTTGCTTGTTTTGAACTGCCTGTATGTTTTTCAGTCACGTGAGGGAAGAGTTAACGTCAGCGCGACAACGGCGTGGCGAACATCTTCTTCAAAAGGCCGGCGAGACGACCGGCGTGTGTTTCTTCGGTTCTCTGGCATCGGTCTGGCGCTACCGTCGCCCCACTTTTTTTCGACGGGTGGGGAAGGGGGGCATGTCAACGCCCTATGCTTTTTGTGTTTTCGGTCAATGTCCAGACTATATCGTATGTGCGGACGGAATGGGTGTTGACGATGGCCTGCGCCGTTGCTTGTTTGCGTTGCGGAAAGTCCAATTGTTCGGGTGGTACAGGTTGGTCGGGATTTTGTGTGGAGCCTGGGTGAGTTGGGGAAAAGTGGTCCAGGGAGGGCGGCTGGGGGGGCGGGGGCTGCAGCTTTAAGGGTGTTAACGGTTGTTGAAAGCTTCAACCTCGGGCGGTGACTTTAAGCCCGCGTTAGCGACCACCGTTTGTTTCGATTCGCTGGCATCTGTGACGTGCTCACACGTCGCCGAAGGGGCACGATTGGGGTCGTTTTGTCAAGGCCAACTGCTGTGTTTTTTTTTTTTCTTGGGTAGTCGGTCAATCTCCGGACCGTATAGTATATGCGGAGAAGTTTCTACCGGGGCGTGTTTCCTCACTCGTACCGACTTTAGCATAATATACTTTTTTTCTTCTCTTGGCTTCCTTGGTGCAATTGGTTATTTGTACATGAGGTCGAGAAGTGGTGAGCCTGTCGAAAAACTTGTGTGGAGCCGCTCATGGCTGTGTGGGGCTAGGTATGCATATTATTATTTTTTGTACGTCATCACGGTTCTTTGTCCGCCCTCGTTCCGCCGTAATTATCTCGCGGTACACGTACAATCTATTTTGCGTTGTGCGTGCCCTAAACGAAGCACGGGCCACGATTGTGGTTGCTGGGACCTTGGTTTGAGGCGTCGTTCATTTGTTTCTGCAGAATAGGCTCTTGTATAATTTGTTTTTTACCGGGGTGTCATGCGCTCACCACGGTGTTGACGCACGGGAATCTGCATATGTGCAACTACGCGCTAACGCATTAACGACCGACGAATTAATACAAAAGAACACAAACCTGGTACTTGTTATCCGGCTGCGAACGTTTGTCCCGAGGGGCAGAACAACGTTGCATGATCAGAGGGCACAATCTGGCGACGTTGTGAGCCAAGGCTTTCTCTAACCCACGAGGTTATGCTGTGTGTGCTTACCTAACCCGGCCAGGTTATGCCACCGGGGTAAGCAACCTGACCAGGTTATGCCACGGGGCTCAGCAACCTGGGACGTTGTATTAACTGAAAATAGAGTGCTTTTTTTTCGGCGTTGTACAATGGTGCAAATAATGTGCACCTGGGCCACCTGTGTTGTGTAAACCATTTGATGGGATAATTGCTGGAAGTTCGTCAGAAGTTTGAACATTTGCTAGAAGTCTTTCAGAAGTTAGTCTGTGCACATCCCGGTCACTCTCACTTTCGACATCCTCTCCTCTCATCCCCGCATCGACCTTGAGCTGCAACACAACATGAACGCCCTCCCCCGTAGCTCCCCAAGCAAAGCGTAAGTCCACCCAGTCAGCGAGTCGTAGTCGAGTGTACCGCCGTCCTGTACAACAGGGCGACCCCAACTGGCCTTGCCCCGGGCCCGACTGCGACGGCGGTCACCTTAAGCTCATTAACAAGCGCGACGGTAAAGGCAAGTTTGCCCCTTGCGACCGTAACAACAACCGCGACGAGGACAGTTCTAGCGTATCCTGCACCATCCTCACCCCGTCGACAACGTATCCCAAGCCGTGCCAGCTCTGCCTCGCCCCGGTGGGAGGTACTCCTTCGGTCGGGATCCCAACCGACCAGGTCAACAGCCGCGGCTACAAAGAAAGGTAAAAGCAATTTCTCTCTTTAATTATATCAAGTAAATTTCCGCCTGATGTGTGCCCGAATGTTGTTCAGGTGTTGCATGAAGGCCTGGCATGAAACTGCATCGCAACCGCAACCGCTACATCTCTCCACAACAATGCCCTTTTTGCTTGCTGTTGTTGTCAGAGTGGAAAAATATCCACGCGGTGTGGAGTCTTTGCGCTGGTGCCAAGTCTTCGGACGGCAAGAAGTTCAAGCACGTCACCGTCGCCCCCGCCAGCCTTATCGGGGTAAATCATGTGTACACCCGTTTACATCGGAACGTGATTATGTAGTGACCATGCGTAGTTACCTAGATATGGGTGCGCGGATGCATCCGACTGCTGCTGTAAATTAGTTACCCATAAGTCACAAAAGTACACCGTGTTCAACGGTCGACGTCATAGAAAAAATAACATTTTTTAGTATGGGAAAACCATGTGACATTTATTCCTTATATTTTCCCCTGTCACCTATCCGATATCCACTGCAAAGGTGCACTGCGAGTGTTCCGACGCAGCAACTAACGA